ACGCGTGAGAGACGCTCTGGATGAAAGCGCATTCACTCTCTTACAGCAGATGGCGCTAAACATAATGCAGCTGTTACCCTGGAAACCCCCTAAACAAAACAGCTTTCTGTTTCGGAAAGTGTTTAAATTATTTAAATAGGCATTCAGAATTTTGTATTCGCTATGGTGTTCATCACAGTGCCAAATACGTAAATATTTAGACTTAATAGGCTATTTATTTTCAAACATGCCCTAGATATTGTTTGAAAGTGTTTCGATTCTGTATTGTTCGATCAAACTTTACATTATGGCTTCATTAGTTAACATTAGTTAATTCATTAGTTAACATAAACTGCCAAAGAAAAATTATTCTAAGCATTCATTAATCTTAGGTAATTCCAATATTTAATAATACATTGTTAAAATCAAAAGTTGCAACTGTTATTTAATGAGCTAGCATGAACTAAGGGTTGTATTTTATTTTTATTTTTTACAAAGATTTATAACTTATGTAGCTATTGCTCATTGTGAATGGTAATGCATTAACTAAGGTTAACTAATGAGGTCTTATTGTAAAGTGAGACCTATTGGTCTTTATTATCTTTTAATCTGTGTAAAATTTTTAACTTTATACATTTTTTGTGTATTGCTGTATTGTATTCATATGTTTAGTTATTTTTGTTATAAGAAAAAAGTTATCAAACCTGTTATACTGTATTTATGCAACTAAATTTCAATATCGTGATAATACCGTATACCGCGATAAAAACATTATCAATTAACCGCAACATGAAAATCTGATACCGGCATATCCCTATGTCAAACCCTAAATGTGTTTGTATGTGTATGCATGCCATATATGTCTGCATATATGTTCTGGTAAAGTTCTTGATTATGCAATTTTTGTAAAGTTTATGGGACATGATTCATTTATTAACTTTTTTGTATTATTTTATTTTTTTGTTAAAAGGGACAGTTCACTGAAAAATAAATATTTAGTTGTAATTTATGGTACTCCTGTCATTATGTTATATACAAATATCTCAGTATTTATTTTTATTTATTAATTTATTGAACTATTCCTTAAATTGCACTAAATGAACATTGTAAATTGACACATCTAGCACGTTCTACAGATCTGTGTACTAGTGTTAAATGCTACTGTTTTTTTGGCAGTGTTGGTAACGTTTCTTAAAGATAATATCATGATATTTTTTGTGTTTCCCTTAGCGAATGTGCTATCCTGTCAGCAATAACCTGTCCATGGGCTTTTTTGATTACTGTCAGTTTAAGTGCCGGCAATGCAGTGTTGCCAGATATTGCTATAAAAAAACAAATAAAAAACGAAAAATAAATAAAAATAAACTAAATTATTGAAAATATTTTGCAAGTAAGATAAGATAAAGATATCTGCAAAAAAAACTGCAACTTTCCACTTTATTAACTTTCAAGTGTCAAATTAAGTGGAAAACACAAGTCTAAGAACGATACATGCAGACACTGAGAAGTTTTAAACAGCTAATTAATCATTCAGAGAACAAATTTTATTTTTGAACATGAAAAATTTACCGAGGTCCAGACCTCATAGATGACTGGTATGGTACCTTCCTAAGCTTTTGCACCTTATTTACCCCTGTGCATTTTTGCACATTGAAAGTAAATATTTGAACCAAAAGCGTAGATATTAGTACTTAAATGATACATATTAGTACCTTTTAAAAAGGTATTGCCCCAGTCACAGCTTTTGTACCTTTTTTCCTGTTGTTACTGCATTAGCATGTTTTTTTTTGTCAGTTTTAAGGGTGTTCTAGTTGCTGGGCAGTTGCTGTGTTTTTTTTTTGGTGGTTGCTAGCATGGAAAATTTAATGAGAAATTAATCTTTGTGTCCTCTGTGTTTTCAATGTTTTGAAAGTGCCACAGAGTCATAGTGTTTACTTCCGCTGCCGGAATGAACCAATGAATCATTTGCTTGTAGTTGTCTGTGTATATTAAGCCAAGATAGGAAATAGCGTTTTAACAGAAAAAATGACACACATCACCTTAAAAGCTGTAAAAGCACTCCAATAGTCCATTACAGTATCTCAGGCAGCGTGTTTTCAAACGAATGATCGTTCAGAGATAATGAGGTGTTATGTCAGCAACTGCAGTCTGCGTCTCTTCATTAGCATTAAGGTTAATGTAGATCAGAATGAAACTCAGGATTAATGATTGTGTCAATCCGCACAACAAATGTTTCGCCACGCGCACCCCGCCCCGCAGTGTATAAAAGCCACCGCTCCAGCTCGGCCGCAGCAGCAACCTTCACAATGGCCGCAGCGTGGAACTGGCCGCAGGAAAGCGACCCTGGGACGGGCGACCCGGGGTTCTTGGATCCGGCTCTTCAGGAGATGGTGACCGCACCACTCCTTCCCCCGGCGGAGGGCCAGGTGGAGAAACCTTTGTTCCTGTTTTTTTCTGTTCCGCCGCTGGCTACCCAGCCAGTGGTGCCCAAAACCTCAACAGAAGAGCGGGTTCCTTTTTCTCAGAGTTCCAAGAGGGCGAGGATGGCAGTGCGCGAGACCCAGTCTCCACATGGCCGTCCCCCTCTCCCTTTGCCAATGGGCAGCAGGGTTCAGTTCAAGGACGCTATGCCTCCTCACGAGCCCCCTGCCCAGCCGTGGAGCCAGGTAAGTGGCGCGCCGCGCACTCAGACCCCACCCTGGGACGCACGGTAGCCTCCCGGGTTGGGTCCCTGTGTTCCACTGACGAATTGTGATCTCGCCTGAGAGCCCAATCCCCTTCGAGTGTAAACTAAACAAGCCAATGACAGTTGGCGTGCTTGTTTCGCCACGCGCACCCCGCCCCGCAGCACGGGTATAAAAGGAGAGCTTGTGCAAACGCACATCAGTTTTTCGCTGAGGAGCCGAGACTACGTGCCCCGGCCGTACAGCGGTGGTACAGCGACTGTGGCGACGGGACGTAACATCTTCAGGGAACGAGGGTTACACAAGTAACTGAGACGTTCCCTTTCAGTCAGTCACGTTCTACGTTACGTCAGTCGTGACTGACGAATTGGGATCCGTATGGAAAACGCCGGCAAGTCCCCCCACACCAGCTGGGGCAGAAGATAGGACAGCGGCTAAGCAGAGGTGTCCGCACTGCTGTTCCACACAGTGGTACATTGGATAACACTGGGAAAGCATACCCAGTTGGGAACACTACAGAAGCCACATCCTGCACATAGGAGGTATCATGTGGAATTACACATATGGACTGGCCCAGGGCAGTGCTACATATGGAAGTCCCTGCAGTAGACTCAACCCGCCTGGGGTGAGATGACTATGCAGCAGATATGGCAGTGAACAACTGCCAGGGAAAAACACGGGCTTACCATGAGGGGAGCCGTACCGTGGAGAATACACATGTGGGATCACCCGAAGGGGGAATCACTACACACAGGCACCTAGCCCAGCACAAGGGCTGACCTTGGGCATGCACACGAGTGCTGAGCCTGGCGTCTGGCGCTCCGCCACGCCTGACCGCCGAGGGTGCGGGAAGAACTCCACCAGGGTTCGCCATGGGGAACTGAATTGAGGAGCAAAAAAGCGCACGTATCCGGTCCATAGAGGGGAATGCCGCAGCAATCGTGATCGACACCGCGCAGGTCCGGTGTTACTGCCTACCTGAGGCGAGTACATGAGAGGACACGGGCTCTACACGGAGATTATAGAATCTCGCAAACGTGTTAGGCATCGCCCAGCCAGCAGCTCTACAGATGTCTGCTATCGAGGCACCCCGCGCCAATGCCCAAGAAGATGCCACTCCTCTCGTAGAGTGAGCTCTCACTCCGTGAACGGGACAGAGCAGAGCGATGGCTGGATCTGCCTTCTCCCGGGGCAGCGCTTGCAAGTTCACCACCTGGTGTGGTGGGAACTTTGGGCACATATCCAGGCCGGGGTCTCAGGACAACGTGAGAGTTACCCGTACCGAATTCTAGGCACGAATCGTCGACCGAAAATGCCTACAGGTCCCCTACCCTCTTGACCGAGGCCAAAGCGGTGAGGAGCACTGTCTATGCTTAAAAAGTTTATGATTAAAACAAGAACAAATGTCAGTGTGGTATTAAAACACGCTTCCCTTTGAACTTTTCGGAACCCATTTGCAGATATTTGTTCTTCACAGAAAACAAGAACGTTTATCTTATGTAGTTTTGCCTCTCAAGTAAATGTATCTTAATTCTTGCGAATCTTTAGAACATCACTTTTTTTTTTTCTCTCTAGTGGTTAACGACTTAAGTATTGAAAGTAAAAGTGCAAGTAAATGCAAAAGAAGCAAATAAATATACAGTATATAAATAAATGTTCATATACACAGCTTGAGTAGCAAGATTGTGTTCAGTTTCAAATCTTTCTTCCATTTTGCACTGATTCGTCAAATCTGCTTTCCTGCAGTCCGTGTTCTTCTGACTTCTGACTATTTTGTAGTAGGTAATGAATATGCTTCGGGGAAATGTATCGGATTAAATTATTAAAGTATTATTACTTCGTTACATTACACCACTGTTGGGAGCAAAGCTATTCAAGTCACAAGCTGCTTTTTTGGTCAAATTAATACAAAAATTAATAGAGATCTGTTGGAAGTTGTATTTTCAAACTTTTAAGCATTGTGAATACAATACATTTACATATAAAGACCCTGTTTGGTGTATTGTGTTCCAATCGATTTCTTTACTTGGTCTTAAGAAATCTTAAATTTACCTTCATAAAACCTGCTGAAACCCTGAAAATGAGAGCTTTAAAATGAATGTGCTCAGTACATTTGGATGAGAAATATTTGAGTCGGTTTTGATTGCTGACTGTATACTTTGACACTATACAGTCTGAGATGCTGAGATATCTTGTGCAATTTCTGATGCTTATAAGGTTCTTTTTCTTTTGAGAAACACCTGAGAAGGAGAATTGTTTGCTGCTTAGCTGTGGACAATGAAATATCAAATAAAGGCAAATAATAATGGTGCAAAATGACTCGGTCTGTCTCTACAGGGGGTGAACAGCATGTTTCAGGTGGTCCTAACAGGGAATAACTCTGAGCACTTCAGCATCTCTCCCACCTCAGTGCAGGGCAGAGCAGACCTCCGTGTGCGTGTGGCCGTCCCGCTGGACTACGAAACCATCAGGAGCTACAGCTTTTCTGTGAGTGCAGATAACACACATTTTCATCCATCCAAATTACAGAATTTTCAGAATCATAACTTCAGGCTTCAGTGTCACATCATCCTTCAGAAATTATTCTAATATGCTGATTTTGGGCTCAAGAAATATTTTTTATACCGCAAAATATTTTTGTGGAAAATGCAATAAATTTTTTTTCAGGATGGAAAAGTTCAAAAGAACAGCATTTGTTTGAAATTGATTTTTTTGTAATAATGTAAAAGTCCCTTTAAAGGGATAGTTCACCCAAAAATTTAATTTCTGTCCATAGGAAACAAATCCGGCGTGATGCAGCTGACACAGAACAGCATACGCTGTTTACGTCCAGTGGATATTCTCCAAAATGGCACCAGGGTGATGCGGAGGAGACGAATTGTTGAATAAAGTCGTTTTTTTTTTTTTTTCTCACAAAAAGTATTCTCATAGCTTCGTATAATTGTGGATGAACCTCTGATGTCACATGGATTATTTTACAGATCTCCTTATACGTTTCTGGACTTGGGAACATTTCAGTTGCGTTGCTGTCTATGCAGGGTCAGACAGCTCTCAGATTCCATCAAAAATATCTTAATTTGTGTTCCGAAGATGAACGAAGGTCTTATGGGTTTGAAACGACATGAGGGTGAGTAATGAATGAGGGTGAACTAACCCTTTAAAGTATTTAGAATACACTGAGAATAGATGATCATGCCATGCCACTTTTTAGAAAAGTAAACCAAGATTTAGAATGGGGGAAATGAAACACAAATAAATTACTGGCACTTCTATAGAGAGCAGTGCTGTCATGCTGCTGGAGTTCAGCTGTGTTTCTGCAATTAATTTAGTTCAACTGGCTGAAGCTGCTCCCTGCAGCGATGGACTTACTAGCTGCACTGACAAATGACTGCAATCTGCACCAGTACAAAACACAATCAGAAATTGTTGTAGACCAGTACAGCAGATTCCCTCAAACAGGCATTACCTCAACCAGTTTGTAGCCTTGTTTCTTGCAAACATCTGTTCCAGTTCATCTAAATGTAATAACTTAAGTGAACTAATACTGTAAGAGATTTGGAAAATTGACTTTTTAAGAAATCGTTCATCTTTTAAGAAACGGTAAAATGTAACAGATTGTATTGATTATGCATGTTGCTTGCATGTCTTTGCTTCTAACTCTATAGGTTAGCCAATCAAAAGCAAGACAGATGCAATTTACATACAAACTGCTTAAAGGTAGTTACAGTAGTTTCATAGAAAGGTCAGAAAGAGGGTGAAAAATGTAAATCATGACTTTTTCATACGAGATACTTTGACTAACATAAGTGGTTTCAGGGAAAAAACGTCTGTTTTACACTTTATTTTTCATGATGATTAGGTGCACTTTTCTAAAAACTCATGACCTATTGTAAGTAAGCAAGTAAATAAATAACTAGGATTTTAAACTAATTTTCACCATATTATCAATATTCTAATGCAATATTTTTCAGGACAGTTCAATATTAGGATAATTTGTAAATATTTCACAATTGTAAAATATAATTAGTGTTTTTTTTCCCATTTTAAATTGCATTTTTGAATTTTAGTAATTCAGGAAGGAAATTTAATCATATTTTTATGAAAATAATGATACAATGCAAAAAAAATTATTGATTGATTTGATTTTGGGGTGAGCCATGTACTTGATATGTTCTTGATATGTTTTTGTGGGATTCAGTCATTATGTATATAAGGTTTGAGGTTGTAAAGTATTTTTTTTAATATGATGTTTGTGGAAACATGATGTTTTTTTCTGGATTATTTGATGAATAGAAAGTTTAAACAACAGCATTTATTTGAAATATATATATATTTTTTGTTACAAAGTGAAAGTCTTTACAGTCACTTTTAATCAACTTAATTCATCATTGCTGAAATAAAGTATTGACATGCTTAAATTACTACAACTTCATTTAATCATTAAAACAGAAAAGACACAATTTGGGAAAAAATAAAAACGAATTTCTTAGGGCCCTAAAATCTAATTTTTGTTAAATTTCTACTAAAGTGTTGTTAAATTTGAGAAGTTTCATAACTTTAAATAACTTTAAAAATGCTTTTTGATTACTATAATTTAACCATTAAAACAGAATCCAAAACAATTGAAATGGAAAAAAATGGAATCGGGGGGGACAAAAAGGAATTTGGGAAAAAATAAAACTGATTTCTGTGAAGTTTCCCTCTGCGTCTCTGGTGGGAAAGCCGTGATGATACATTAGGATGTTAGGATCCTCATCTACAACTCTGACATCCATAAGATTCCCCATCTTTTTACGGTGTCACCGTCATTTATTTGATTTCAGCACACAGACTGTTTCCAGAGTGCTGAAGGTCATCCCACTCCAGGAGTATAAATCACTGTGAACAACCACATGCAGCTCATAAATTCAGCCTATTATCACTCTCCCTCTGTCACTCTCACTACTGGATGCTATAGAGATCAATACTGATCGATACACGGCCCGGGCTCTGGATCCAGGCGCTGGACTGGTGTCTGTGCAAGCTAGTCCTGATTATAGTTCAGAGCTTCTGTATTGTGAGGAGCAGTGCAAGATTTTTGTCTTGAAGCTCAAATTCACAGAACAAATCAGAAGTGATGGTGCCATTTGTTGGGAAAAGCTGCTTTCAGAACTTTTAAACGAAACTTTCCTGTTTAATATTAAAGGGGTCATATCATGAGTAGTCAAATTTTCCTTGATCTTTTGAGATCAAAGAGCGTGATGTGCTACGAAAACACTCTGTAACTTTCAGAAGTTCCTCTGCAGTCCAAAAGGAGCATTTATTGAAAACGAGCTAAAATGGATTGTTTGTTAAGACATGACAGTTATTTAGAAATTTGGCTGGTTCTTGCTAAGGTAATATACTGCAATTTGGATGAATTTGCAAGGAAACGTAGATCCATGTGAGACTTTTTTTGTGAGATGTTTTTGTGGGACTTTAAATGTTTTATAACATTATAAGTGGATTTAAATAGGAAAAAAAGCATGGTATGACCAGACTGGAAAGGTCCAGAATGGAAAACATGACTTTCTTTGCTTCTAACTCTATAGGTTAGCCAATCAAAAGCAAGACAGATGCAATTTACATACAAACTGCTTAAAGGTAGTTACAGTAGTTTCATAGAAAGGTCAGAAAGAGGGTGAAAAATGTAAATCATGACTTTTTCATACGAGATACTTTGACTAACATAAGTGGTTTCAGGGAAAAAACGTCTGTTTTACACTTTATTTTTCATGATGACTAGGTGCACTTTTCTAAAAACTTCTCATGACCTATTGTAAGTAAGCAAGTAAATAAATAACTAGGATTTTAAACTAATTTTCACCATATTATCAATATTCTAATGCAATATTTTTCAGGACAGTTCAATATTAGCATAATTTGTAAATATTTCACAATTGTAAAATATAATTAGTGTTTTTTTTCCCATTTTAAATTGCATTTTTGAATTTTAGTAATTCAGGAAGGAAATTTAATCATATTTTTATGAAAATAATGATACAATGCAAAAAAAATTATTGATTGATTTGATTTTGGGGTGAGCCATGTACTTGATATGTTCTTGATATGTTTTTGTGGGATTCAGTCATTATGTATATAAGGTTTGAGGTTGTAAAGTATTTTTTTTAATATGATGTTTGTGGAAACATGATGTTTTTTTCTGGATTATTTGATGAATAGAAAGTTTAAACAACAGCATTTATTTGAAATATATATATATTTTTTGTTACAAAGTGAAAGTCTTTACAGTCACTTTTAATCAACTTAATTCATCATTGCTGAAATAAAGTATTAATTTCGTTTAAAAAAAATCTTATAAATCCCAAACCTTTGAACATTAATGTATGTAATGGCTAAGAGGAGTGAAGGTGCATCTCTCTTCTCCACCTCTGATGAGACGTTTGTGTGTGGCAGTGGCCTGAGAGACTTTTATGTCGATAAATGCTGTCTGCTCTGTGTCACTGGCTCACTCATGACATGTAACGGCCTGTAAAGTCAATAGAGTGGTAACTTTACCCACAATGCCCTGAGGAGAAGCTGAAACACAGTTATGTGGCAGCAGCCTTATGATTACTCACTGTTCTTTCTTTTTTCTCTCTATTCTTTCCTGGTTTCTAATTTCTCAATACTCTCTTTTCTTTTCTACCCATCACCTTTAAACAACTGCTATAAGAGCTTTAAACAGTTGGTTGATTCTTGTGCTCTCAGATTCTTCACTTTCTTCACCTAAACCTTTAAAGGTCCCATATTGTCAAAACTGAAATTTCCTGGCTTTTTTTCACGATAACTGAGGTCTAGGGGCTATTTAACTACCATATACGTTTCAAAACAGTCAGTCCACAGTAAAATGCACACAGCCTGCATAAAGTAGATGTGACTTTTCACAAACCGTTGTGACTTCCGTAAAAAGTTGACCTACACAGTCACCGTTTTATCGCGTTTAGCCACAGCTGTCGTCGGTTTTTTGTCTGGCTGTGGCAGCAGATATGCGATCAAATTTCCAATTTGAGGCTGTATTACGTCGATTCTGGCACCCAACATCACAACAAGATGATATTTTAAGCTCCTTATGTAGCCAAATCTGCGCTGGTTTGAATGGGCCACCTCCAGTTTCCCCTTTTTTTTTGCTGCGTCCAGCTAGCGCTGTGACGTCGGCTGACCCTAGATACCTGTGGTTGGCTTGGCCGTGCGTCACTCAGAAAACAACAGGCCAATCAGAAGAGAGGCTCATGAATATGAATTAGACAGGCCAAAATCGACCTGTTCTCAGCAGAGCTCCAGAGAGAAGAGCTATAAAAATATATTGAGATGTTTTTTGGTACTTATACTGCAAATATATATTCTTAAGGACATCAAAACCTAAAATAAAACTCCAGAAAGGTGTAAAATATGTGACTTTTAACACTTTGTCTACAGCATTGCAGTCACTGTTGTTTCCTTCAGGAAATGCAGATGTAGTTGTGTCT